TACACTGTAGATCGCGTGCCTTCAACAGACTTGTGCTCATCTCTAGCGCAAATCCCCAAAGTGCTTTTTGGTAAAAAATGCATTGGTCTTCGCGTCGGCTGGCAATAAAGTTGCAGCGCAATGTGCCAAACTTTTGCCTCGTTCGCTTCTCTTACGCTCGTACACTCCTCATATTTAGCTACTAGTAAGCAACAGCAATGGTCATTTCGATAATGAGAGCCCCAAAAATGCAAAGCGACTGGAGAGCTACAACGCTGGCGTGTTAGTTGGGCCGTATGTGTGGCAAAGAGGGAGCAGAGATAGATATGGGGAAAATTTTGAAAAGTGAACTGCAAAGTCGCAATTTGTTTGTTACGAATAAATTTCCGCTTTTTTATGTGTGTGTGTGTGTGTATGTGTGTTTCAGTTTGAAACATTTTATGCAACTACGGAAATCCTTGAGGGTTCAAACTTTGACTGTGCTTCCGCGGGGCTTAGTCGGAGTGTGAATTGGTAGTGCATATGGTGGATTTTCATTATACGCTGCAAATGGAAGTTTAAGCAGAAAAACATCCAAGGGATTTGTGTGTGTGTGTGTGTAAGTATGTAGGTACATTTATTTATGTATATCCACTGCAATTCGCGAAAAATGGCAGCAGATTAGACTCGACTGCGGTTGCTTGTACTTGGTGGACAAATGTCAACCGACAACAGTGCAGACGAGCCAACCATTCAAGCAGTAAGGCAGCCAGTTGTTCAACTACATAGCTGATGTGACCATGTAAGCGGTGAAGGAGAAAATGAATTGGATGTCAAATGTGCGGCCGCATACCGAAACGAAATGAAAGGCAGACAGTTAAGGAGGAGTTTGTAGTGGGCAGTGGTCATCGGAACGCGGACAGTTGATTTGTGCACCTTTTCTTCATTTGGTTTGTACACATACTACATACTGCATAACTCTGTAAAATTTATGAGTGTTGGTGTATGCAAAAATAGTGGCATGCAAATGAATGTTTTATAAAAGTTGTTGAAAAATGGTATTTCCCCAAAGGCTGGCAAGCGTGGTTGGGCAAAATTCGATAAAAAAAGATAGAATGTAGCTTCGACGCATCAAAATAAGCCAGGACTAAGTACTGCTGTTTCAGCGATCTAACCCTGTTTAGACCAGCATACTATGTTTGCTGCGTCTGCCAAAGAAGACACCAACATGCCACTTCGGTAAGGTACAACTCTTATAACGAATGAAACCATCATAAGACCTGCTCTGGTCCTATGCCTTACAGGGACTAGACCACGCGTTGCGCGGACTGCTTCAGCGGTCATTTGTAACGCACAGTCCGCGCTATTCTCGCCGGTACCCCGAGTTACCATGCGATCTCCGCGTCTTGGAGCTCCCACGAAAAACGTGGGCACCCCTTCCATAGCCTGATCGCGCTCCATCTGCCTGTGTAAAATCCAATCAGTAGTTCCCGAACCCTCACAGACTACCTTTTCGGTTTGGCAGGTCTCGTATCAGACAAGTGCAATTGCTGTCTTAGATAACCACTTTCGCGCCTTCTCTGAACTATGCGCCCAGATGTGAGTACCATGTTATAGACGTAGCAACCATCTCTGATCGGGCAACAACCACATTGTGAAATCCCTTACACTCCAAATCGAGACATATACCCTAGGAAACCGACGGTATACCGAGTCAACTTCAAAATCTCATTGGGGAGGTACAATCATTACAGGCATTCTCACTGGACACTTCGAGCTAAGAATTATCTCTGTCGTTTCAGCGACTCACCTAAAGAGACACCATTGCATCTGCTCCTACAATATGACGCCATATCGAGGCGACGAATGAATAGCAATGTCTCAATGTGTCCAAAGAGGGAGCCCATTAACTCCTTTACCAAAGGAATAAATAATATGTTGATGACTGGAAGGTAAAATGGAATCACTGGGTCGCTGTGCATAACTCATTTAAATATATATCTATCTATGTACATAAGCACCTCTTGACATGTCCTCTCAACAACTCTAACCAACTCATCTACCAATTCTGCGACTCCGTCGAAACTGCGTCACCAGCATGGTTTCGGTAAAATGCACAGCACAACAACAGCACTTAACGGCATAAACTCCCAAATAACTCGTGGCCTAAACCGCAACCGCCCCTGTGAGAGAACAGTCCTAGTAGCGTTGGACTTGTCAAAGGCGTTTGACACCGTCTGCGGTTCCAAGCAACTAGAATACATTGACGCCTCCTCTCTCTCACCGACACTCAAACGGTGGTCGGCGAATTATATGAGTGGTCGACAGTCATCAGTAATCTTCCGATATCAAACCTCGAAACCTATAATAAAACAAGGAAATTTTCCGGCCGTTTCTAAATTATACAGCACCACTTTGGTCGCCGGGGACTGGTTGGACGCGCAGTGGACGAAGCTACAGCCTTGTCAAAAGACCGCACTCCGGACAGCGACATGTAAACAGTTTCTGGTGAGGTGCCACAGAAGTGAACACCCTAACAGACCCTTGATAGAGGAGCCTCCGCCCAGGCATGTCAGGGGGCACCTCTTCATATATAAGGACGCGATCCAGACATACACAGACCCCCAACTGGAGCCGATGACATACCAAAAGCTGTAGCAGAGATAGAGCTTCAACTGCCACGAAAGACCCGCGTTACCCTTGCTCAGTTACGGTCTGGATACCTCAACCGCTACCTGTCCAGACTAGATCCCAAAAATCCTCATGAGTATCCGGCGTGTGGAGACTGTCCGCTCGACATTTACCACCTCTTCATATACCAGCTCAATCCCACTCAAGAAACACCCTTCTCCCTTTGGTCCGACCCTATTGAAACAGCCCGTTTTCTGGGCCTACTGTTAGTTGGGCTTGACGGCAATGATTGAAGTATGCCCATGAAGGAGCCCAATCACCACCTATAGCAGAGACGGAGTTTCAACGGCCAAGAGACCCGCGTTACCCTGGCCCAGTTACGGTCTGGATACTATAGCCGCCTCAACAGCTACTTGCCCAGATTTGACCCCAATATCCCCAATGAGTGTCCGGCATGTGGAGGCTGCGCAGGACACCAACCACCTCTTCACATGCCAGCTCAATCCACTCAACTAACATCCCTCTATCTTTGGTCTGACCATATTGAAACAGCCCGTTTCCTAGGCCTGCCGTTAGTTGAGCTTGACGACAATAATTGAACGATGAACCGAAATCGGCGGGGCTTGGTAGTGCCGCTACAACAACTGACGCTGATTTTCATTTTGGAGGCATATTTACATACCCTCAGCCCCAGTTACGAGTAATTACTGTTTTTTTTTGTGATTTTTATTTTAGCACAACAGTTTTGAATATTCATTTCTACAAACTTGGAAATGAATTTTCAAGTTCCGACTGCTAATTTAAATAGAAATGTAAATGCAATAATTGTATAGTATATCATACTAGGAGAAATTCAATTGTTTACTATATCTAAAGTAATTTTAAAACGGTAAACACAACTTTATTAACTCTTAATTTTATACATTTAAATTTAATTAGCATTACTTTAAAATTTGCACTAAAGGTTTAATACATATATTTGAGTCGTATAGCTTAATAGCATAACTTATCTTAATTGTTTAACTTAAGTACACAAATGAAGCGCATTAACAAAAATTATTTACGCTAATGGCGTTTTCTTTTCCCGAAAAAAATTTCACCGACTTACATATATGGCAACATCATCAGAGTGCCACATTTTAAAGAAAGAGCATGCAATATGCATGCGAAGACACTGAGAAAAGAACACAAAAACTTTACAGCCCTGGCGCAGGGCAGAATAAATGCAACATTACTTTCAGAAAAGAAAACGCTACAAAATTTAATTAGTACTCGAAAATAAAAAGCAACTCAGTAAATGGCAACATTTTGATAGGTTTTAAATAGTAGCCTTAACAAGAACCAATGAATTGTTTGTGTTTAGCACGAAGGCAATGCTAAAATTTGATTGTACATATCTTCAAAATCTAATTTCAAAGCCATTATGTATTTCTTATCAATCGCTGTACATCTACTAAGCGTCACACCCACAGGTGGACTTGACGTAATCGCTGTCGCATCTGCTATATCAACAAACTACACTTACACGTAATTACTCCTTATCGCTGCTCTGNGCCTCCTCATCGCGCAATTCGAGCAATTCGGTTAGCAGACCTGAAGCCAGTATGTCACGTATGCGTATGCGTCCCGTATGCAGCGGATCAAGAAAAAAGAAAAACTTTTTCACGACTGTACAAACATAGAAACTTTGGAAGGAAGGCTGCACGCAACTGCTAATCTGCGCTAGCGTTGGTATGATGTCAATGATGTAATTTTCCATATCGATTTCGCGCAGGTACCCTTGACCTATTTCATCGTAAAATGATAAACCGATGCGCCCTTGCGTCAGCCACACTTTACGCATTGTATAATTGAAGATGGAAGCGATTTCTACTTTGCCTGCAAACGTTAATTTAATTTAAATTTATGCACAAACCAACTTAGTTGTCTTGGCACTCACCTGGATACATGGAATGGCACAACAATTTGGCATAGAGACGCGCCGTCAGATATTTGCGACATTTTACACTCACCGCTTCCAGCAGCTTTAGGTAATCATCGTAGTCGATAAGTTGTTGCCCCAACGGCGTTACCTGCGTGCAATGCTTCTCCAATAGCGTCCACAAGGCGCTTAGCTCATCGTTGTCTAGCAATTCTTGAGAACGCTTCTGCAGGAATAGTGAGTGCGCCTCTTTGCGCAGATTTTGTCGTAGGGTATTGTTTGGTGGTGGGGGCGCATGAAAAAATTTCGGTATCGTTGAATAAGTGTGATGTTGCAATTGTGCAGTGGGCTTGAGTGGCGCATCCGCATCAAAGCTGCGCAACTCTTCTTCACTTGGTTTCTGCGTAGACACATCAAGATTTTCAAATTCTTTAACAATATCCGGATCTAGTTCCATTCTTTAAACTTTTATGTAAAAACCACTTTTACAATGAATAAAAGTAAATAGTCAACAGCTGATTACGTCAACTATCAATAATAAAGGGTGCCACACATTGTCGATCAAGTTTGGCAGTCAAGAATTTATGTGTTTTGGCTAACGCATTGTAGCAGTCAAACTATCATTCAAACTGCGAAATTCATCAAGGAAATATGAAGGATTAAGGGTCGGATGTGCTTTATTTATTATCGCACTAGCTATTATATATGATTTTATTTAATTTAATTTTATTTTAATAATATATATCATTTTTCTTTCACGCAACAGTACTCTGGACTAATTTTGTCCCAGAGACAACGTTGCATCTCATAGCAATCTAAACACTTTCAAAAAATTGTGATTTGCGTCAATTTTCAACATTGCTTTGATAATATTCGAAAATATCTTCCTATTTACACTGCTGTAAGTACATACGGTTACTTAACACATGTGTGTAGGCTGCGAATATTTCGCTTGACGGACTCTATTTGGTACACACTATCAGTTAAAAATTAATATGGCCTCTGACTGACAGTCAATAACAAAAATTTTTGTGTTTGACACTTGATTGAGGAAAAGGAGCGGTCCCACGGCCAAACAGGGGAAATTCGAGCAAAACTGTCGATTTTGATCGCCAATGTGGAGCACATATAAGCTTCGCTGTTGTTGTCGAAGTTGACTACGCAAGTGATCGTGGTGGCAACGTGCAAGGTTTGAAGCTTTGCTAACAGGGTGTTTGAAATAAAAAATTTACTAATCTATTGTATAATATAAAAAATTTAAATTTTTAATTAAATTTTTTTATTAAATTAGCATCAGCGGCATCATTTATTAAATGGAAAATTAGTTGTTTATCATATTACGTTTTAGTTATAGTGTTGTCACATTCATACTTAATTTTGTGCATCACAGGCACCTATTTACCCTCATGCCTTTTTACCTATTACTTAATATTATATCATTATAGTTGGTAGAGCCAGCTTTTCAAGATAAACGCAGTTTACGTGATCTAAGTTTAAACTTGCACTGAAAACTGGACCTAAATAAGTTCAACTACTCAATAGATATAATGGCGTGTTCCTCAACCTGGAAAATTTCATCTAAATTTGAAGGCCAACTAACTTGTATACACGGCGAATAATTAACTTCCTCATAGTTTGAAATCGATTAAAAAGTACCTACTTAAATATTTGAAATTCACGTACATAATTTTATTAAAACTCAGTGACTAATGACATACAATTTTCCTTTTACTTACAGGTTCTAACATAAAAGTTGCGTCGGCAATACTGAACTGTATTTTAGCGCGACAGCTATGTTTCGAAGATCCCTCGTGTTCGGCTATTTTAGAAATAATACCGAGAGTATGTGGGCCTATACCAGGTATGTGGAAAGTAAATTTAAGAACTTGAAAATATAATAAATTTTTCTAATAAATAGGTATTCAATTTAGTTAAACGAATATGCTCCCAGGATATATGTCCTCTGGAAAAGCTCGAATGTCTTATTTTTTGAATAGGGTTGCCACCTGTTAAGAAAATTACTATATATATTGAAGCCTAGGCGCCAGTTCTGCACCGTCACTGTCAAATGAAAATACTTAGGGCAGGTTTTTCAGTGCACAACCATGGTTTAAACTAAGTTTAAACGCCCGATTTGGCTGTTTTAAACTAAGATCAGCCAATCAAACGTCAGCCAGCTGTTCAGTTTAAACTCAGTTTACTTAATCGAAGTTTAAACTGGCACTCAGAAACTGGCCCTTAATCTCTAGATATGAAGAATGCATTATTTTTCTGAGTAGGGTTGCCACCTGTTTAATAACTATAAGATCTTCGCTGTTTGTTGGATGAAAAATTTAGATCCCAAACGAAAGTGCATAGTATAAACAAAAAATTGATTTTTTTTTTAGTAGGGTAGCCACCTACTCCGATTCCCCCAACTATTACTTAAAAATAAATTGAATTTAATTTTTTTATCAGGTGGCAACGCTTTTTTGAAAAAAATAAGAAGTTATTCCACATCCACAGGTACATTTTTCATTTCCATATTTTTTGGTCTATGTGCGCTTTTTTAGAAACTTAAATATTTCGGTACCGAGTATCGATCAATACTTAAAAGTGGATGTACATAGATTACTAAAAGAGAAACCGATCCACATTAACATTATATTTTGTGTTTATTAAAAATTTAGACTACCGAGCACTTGAAAGTTAAGGAGAAGGTAGATTGCGGGGTATCCTCCACGATAATAACGAGAACTCCTCTATAAAAGGGTCCAGCATTTTTGAAATGTTGATATTTTTTAATTAAAAAAATTCGGCAATTTTCATCTCTGTTTTAACTGCATGTACAAATGAAACTATACTTTGTTAATTTTTTCTGTAGAAAATAAAATTATTTTGCTAAGTTCATAAATTTTTTGGGGGTGGAGCAGCATATATTTAATATAGGGCCCGAATTTTCTCTTGGCCGACTTGTCTATAGATCACCCAGCATTACCGTTCTGGTGTATAGCGCAGAAGCGATGTAGACATTGTTCAAACTATCCTGCCCTGAAAGTACATATTAACGCTAGAATGAGCCCTACTGGGCCCGGTGAGGCCCATTAATCATGACCGGCAGTCCAACTGGAAAGCTGCTGGGTGGTTTCTTAAGAGGACGAGAGTTTGGGATACCTTAAAAACGTTTTTGTATGGCACAGGTTAACTATTAACTTTCGATTTCTTTAATGGTTGGATAAAAATTAATAGAAATTAATAATGCGGTAAAAATTGTTGATTTTTATTGTGTTGAATTTGCGATTCATCATCCGATGGGAAATTGAAGATAAATTTGCCTGATAAAATTAAATTTCTTACATTAATCTCCTCAACAAGCACGGTCGTTGTACGTTCAAATCAAAAGTATCTACATGAATTTATAAAACTTTACGTACATATGTACAATACATAAACATAAAAGATGGTCATTTGTGAGTTCACTTGTAATAACTGACGCGCATACCAGGCAGTAAATTTGGAATATATCAAGACTATATCAAGACTATAGCTGGATTATCGCCTTTTAAGAGCGTGGAAATCCAACCTTATATCGAACAAATTGTCTTGCTTTAAGTGCTGTTGCAAATATATACTTCGAAGGCAATTGAACTCGTCTATGACGATTGGCGTCTTTTGCAGTTCAAGCTAGTTTTAAACTAGTCTAAATGGTCACAATATGAACTTCATGTACAATTGTACCAGTTTAAGCCCGGTCACGTAGTAATTATTAAAACTCAAAATTAACTTAAGACTGTCTCAATTTACACAGCAGGGTTCTTTTCTGCACCCTTCCGTACATACTAGGGATGCCAATACCGGGACCCCGAAATTTCGGTGTTTTTGAGGTCGTGAAAATCCCGGGATTTCCTTGCATTAATCCCGGGATCTCGAATAATTTTAAATATCGAATTGATAGTATGAACTTGTTTATGAATTTGAAGTGTGATTTTTGTAAAATGCTGTTTTGACTACAATTAACAAGAAGCTTGAAACTGCGATTTTAAAATTGCAGCCTGAGCCTATTTTGAAAAAGATTTAAATGAATGTACTCATAGCGTTGTTAATGTAAACGAAACAGAAAGTTATGAGGAAAAGTTATATAATTTTTTAAATCCTCAAATCAAAAAACTTATAATTTATCCGACGTGCTGGTAAAAGAAGTTCAAATATTTTGTATTGGAGCCATCGGCGTAGCCAGAATGAAATTTAGGG